TATATATATATATATATATATATATATATATAGTTGTAGACTGCATTAGCTAATCTTTAGCTTCTCAGACCTTTGGAAAGCATCTTTGGTCTTCTTGTGCAAATGTACTAGTGTGCACATGCGCATGTGTGCATATGAATTTATGCTTCTCTCCAGGTGTTTCTTTAATCTAATTTACCTTCTCCTCCTTATTTTGTCTTTGCTCCTCAATGGTAATGCCATTAAACCAAATATTTACTATTTGTTGTGTGAGTCAAATAGGCTTATGTTTCCTATGGTCAAGAAAAATGTTTCCTACTAATTTCTTTGCGAATAGAAAACAGTTATATAATTAGAATGCATTGGATTTATGTAGCTCTTGGTTGACTTTATTTTGTGGTTCAGTGGTCTTGGTAGACAAAAAAAAAAAAAAAAAAAACCTAAATCTTATTCCCCAAGGTTAGCATAAAGGAATGTATGTACTCATGATGACCTTAGAAAATGTATTTATAAGACTCTTTTGAGAATGAGAGAGCATTGGCACTGGGGCTAACGCAACTTGCCTGATGCCACATAACAAGTGGCAGAGCCATTGTTAGAACTCCAGCCTTCTGATGCCCAGGGTTGTGCTCTATATGTAGTTTGAACGTGTCTCTTCAGGTTTTTGCCTCTTTCTTTCAAGCTGTTGAGTTTGTCCTTAGGAATTGCTGAAGAAAATGAATAGAGAAGAGCTTTGTAGTCCCTGCCACATTTTTGTGCTTATCTTCCTTTTAACCCAATAGTTCTCATTTGACAAAAGTATAGAGAGCTCTTTATGTCTGTAAAAATGCTAGTGAGAACTTTCTTCCATTTTATTAGTACAGAGAATTTTTATGTGCATGACAATTCACACATATAAAAAGACTTCCTTTGCTTTCCTTTGATTAGAAAGTAGGGGAAATTCTCTTGTGGGTGTTTCTTGTGAGTATTTCTTTGATATTGACATGCAGCTTTATAGAACCAGCACCCTATGTCCCTGCAGCCTTTCTTCATCTTCCACCCATAAATGATTTGAAAAAATTTTAGTTGTATCTTACTCAAGGTAATTTTGAAATGATGTATATATTTGCATGTTTTCAATATAAATTATATTGTGTCTTCAAGATAGACATCAAAGCAAATATTTTGTGCTTTAATCTTTATTTATCTCAGATGCTGACTTGCAGATATGTTTCCTGAAAAACATATCCTTGGAAAGCTATTGCTTAGCAGGCCAGCACCATCTACTTACAAAAGGGCATGAGTGACAGATCTCCCAGAACTGTCAAATTGGAGTGTCACATCATATCTTTGTGTACCACACCCACATAAAAATAAAAGCATTACATTAAATGTCTTTCTGATTTCTTTTTAATTAGGGTCCTCCTGGTGAGCCTGGTCCACCAGGCCCTCCAGGTCCCCCTGGCCACCTTACAGCTGCCCTGGGTGATATCATGGGTCACTATGATGAGAGCATGCCAGATCCACTTCCTGAGTTTACTGAAGATCAGGCGGCTCCTGATGACAAAAACAAAACTGACCCAGGGGTCCATGCAACCCTGAAGTCACTCAGTAGTCAGATTGAAACCATGCGCAGCCCTGATGGCTCCAAGAAGCACCCAGCCCGGACCTGTGATGACTTAAAGCTTTGCCATTCCACAAAACAAAGTGGTAAGTGGACAGTGGCCCTTTTGAGCAGAGGGTGTTGTTTCTGTTGATGTTGCTTTCACCTACATTTCAAAATATTTTATTAATTTTCTAATTAGTGATAGACACAGAGAAAAAGAAATACACATGCCACAGAGCTCTTACAGTTTAGTTGTGGAGAAAGTAAATGACATGAAAAATTATAGGGCAAGATGATATGCACTATAATAGAGCATATATTCTATAAATGATCTAATTTCAGAATAGTTCCATTTCCATCCAGAAGTCCTAAAACAGTTAATTTGCAGAGAATAGAAAACATTTCATATCTATGTATCTATATCTTTATCTAACTACACACACACACACACACACACACACACACACACACACTACTTGCTGATGCCAAATTAAACATTTATTTACCTGTATGATCTCTCAGAGTTTTAATATGTTACCATATATTGTTGGATTGTTGAGAGTCAACTAAAGTTTTGCTTGAATATTGAATTCCTTTCATGTAGTTTAATGTTCTATGAATCATACTTCTGGAATTTTTTGCAGGCAGGAATAAGTTATAGTAAGATTGGAAGGCTTTTTGGAATTTTGAACTATGAACTATGCTTAAACTTTGCCTTATTCTATTATTTTGATTGTTCTAATAAGATCCAGGGAAGAGAGATCCTAGACCATAGGAATAAGCTGAGAAATATTCAAGAGTTTCAGTTAGCTATGAAATGACATTGACAATGGTGTTAAAAATATCACCTTTCCAGAGTAGCCAATTTTATTATCAAATTATTTATATCCCACCACTCTCCTTTCACTCTATTTAAAACTTGATTTTTCATATATATACAGGCAGATTCATGTACATACACACACATATATGCACAAATACACATTTTTTAATTTATTTGATTATATGTCTAGTATGTAGCACTGTCTTTGGTATGTCCTATTTCAAAAACCTATATATATGAGCAGATTGATTTCAAGAATGGCTGATAAGATGATTCATTACATTCTATTATAATTCAACTCATTTATTTATTTCATTCATAGTTTAAATAATACACATTACATTCCAATTATAATTTTCTTTAAAAACTTTGGCTTTTTGAATTTAATGAGTACACAATAATATAGGCAAAGCCACTTACAATATATCATCTTTTTTTGCTATATTTTCTCTTCTGTAAAATGGAATAACATTTATTTCACATGTATGTTTTGAGCCTTAGGTACACAGTTGGGCAAAGTGCCTTAGAGAAGTGACAAGTATTTGGGAAATCCCCATATATATAACAATTATTTTCTTCTTTAAAGCATGGTCTCTGTTAAAAGAGACTTTCATTGATAATTTCATATTTCTAATTTCTGTGTTAATTATTTTGGAGATTCATAAACATGTTTGAGGGTTTTTTTTTACTTAGCAAATATTTGTCATTTGGAAAATAGGTGAATATTGGATTGATCCCAATCAGGGATCAGCTGAAGATGCAATCAAAGTTTACTGCAATATGGAAACAGGAGAAACATGCATTTCAGCAAATCCATCCAGTATACCTCGTAAAACCTGGTGGGCCAGCAAATCTCCTGACAATAAACCTGTTTGGTATGGTCTAGATATGAATAGAGGATCACAGGTAATTAAATAGTTTATTCAAGATTATATATTTTATCATATTTTTGTGTTTATTTAGAATAATACTATTCAATCTTGACCAGGTTTATTTTAAAGTGACATATTTTCCTTAGTTACAGTTGCAATACCAAGGCATAAACCAAGTTTTATGATGAGTCAGCTTGACGTAAATTTTGAATTATAATTTTGCAATTGATGAAATGTAGAGAAGTAGTTGTTTCTAGGATTATTTACTCTAATTGACACAGCAGTGACAGTGGAATGGACCTGAAGGGATCTTGCCATAGTTGAATGACAGTCTTGAGGAGTCCTGGGTAACTCTTTGCTAGATCTTTTACTGATGTTTGTCCTTATGACCTGATTAAACCTTTTGCAACCTCAGGTTTACCAGCTTATAGTGAGGCTAATAATTCAGATCCCAGAGTGTCCATATGAATATAAGTGTTTAGTATAATATCTAGAATACACTAAGTGATATATAAATATTAGATAATCTTTAATAATGAAGTCATGTTGTCAATTTTATAGTATTATTAAGTCTTAAAGCATATGTGTAATTATATAAATTTGATTAATATTTTCCTGAGTTCCAATCTACCCTCTGCTTTCATGGTTTAGTATTCAAACTTTCACCAGGCCTTGATAATTCCAATTTAATATTTCATCCCAGATCTCCTTATGATGGCCAAACTCTGAAATTTTCCTTCCACTTCTGCTCCTAACCTTTCCCCAGAACTCATGTTCAGGATCAACATGATGCGAGAACCCTGAGTCTAGCAGGATATGCTAGAATCTACCATTATTTAATAAACAAGAAATTTTAAAACTTAAATATAAACAGTTGAAAAGCAATTTAGCTTATATGACGTTATGTAAAAAACTCAAATGGGAGCCCTGAAAAGAAAACTTAAAGTAGAAGATGAATAAAAAAGAGCTTGTGGTCAATTATTTTTTGTCTAGAGGAAAAATTTTAAATTCATATTTCCTTCAAGTTTATGATAATTAGGTAGTAACGATTTTATTCTAATAGCTAATTTCTAATTCTTATTTAATAATAATGACAGTAATGAGTTTTTTTGATAGTTGATCAAAGCAGATTTTAAAATAGCTAATCTTTCTCTAGAAAATTATAATTATTGTTGGTTTCATCACCTCTCATTCAGGGTAGTAAGGACAAAGATTATTACTTGTTAATATGTTGGAAATTTCAGGTCATTTTATACGTATAGCTAGAGAGCCATATTATATAATAATTAAAGATTTGCTAAAATCAATTTATCTATCTGTAACACATTAAGAAATTCTTCAGTATTGAATATAAAAGACTTTGTTTCTAGTTTGCATATGGAGACCACCTGTCACCTAATACAGCCATCACTCAAATGACCTTCCTACGCCTGTTATCAAAAGAAGCTTCCCAGAACATCACTTACCTCTGTAAAAACAGTATAGGATACATGGATGAGCAAGCCAAGAGCCTCAAGAAGGCTGTGGTTCTTAAAGGGGCAAATGATTTAGAAATCAAAGGAGAAGGGAATGTGAGATTCAGATACACAGTTCTTCAAGATACTTGCTCTGTAAGTACTTTTCATCTACACTGATCAAACTTATTTTTTAAAAACATACTATCATAGTACTATAAGTGGGGGCAGTTTTGCCTTGTATATAAGCTCAGCAGCATTTTGTATATAGTTATTCTTTAGGGTCAACTTGAATGGGTATTAACACATGAAGCATGATGGAAGTGTTAATATAAAATAGTAAAAAAAAAAAAAAAAAAAAAAAAAAGAGCTGGAACCCTAACATTGGATCCAATTCTTTTCAATTCTGTTTGTTTCTTCTGCAAGTCATTTAACTTTCTGAATCTCAGTTCCATGTGTAAAGTTCCTTGATTTTAAAATGTATAGTCAATCACTGATTGTCTCCCACTGGCATAACTAGACATAAAATAAGGAAGACATTATAAGATAAATTATAATTTTATTTGTGACAAACAAAACCAATTACTTTTATAATTTATATTGCTGCTATTTGGGAAGCTGCTAAAGATAAAAGGAAATTTACCTAGAAAGAAGTACTTTCCAGGTGTGCTGGTACCTCACTTGAGGTTACCAGTGCTCTGACATTTAAGTGGTATTCTATAAATAATTGATTTTATGTTATAAAAGTTGCCTGGGGAGGTTTATATCTAACATTCAAAAAAATTGTATCTATTATTAATCCACTGCACCCTTTATTTCTAGAAGCGAAATGGAAATGTGGGCAAGACCATCTTTGAATATAGAACGCAGAATGTGGCACGTTTGCCCATCATAGATCTTGCCCCTGTGGATGTTGGCGGCACAGACCAGGAATTTGGCATTGAAATTGGGCCAGTCTGTTTCATGTAACACAAGCCCAGACAGTGACAGTGAGCATCACCATCAATGATGACTACCCCGTTCACAAGAACTTTGACTGTTTGAAGTTGATCCTGAGACTCTTGAAGATATGGCTGATCATGCATCAGCACTGTATATATGGTCTTAAGTGCCTGGCCTCCTTATCCTTCAAAATATTTATTTTACTTACAATCATCAAGTTTTAATTGATTTAAAATAATTTTCAATACAAGTTTAGAATCATGATGACCAATGACAATGATCACCTTTTAAAAAAAGTAAACTCATTAAATAAATAAATATCTGTTTTCTTCAATTTATTTCAATGTAATAAAAGGTTGCTTAGTATTTATGAGGAAATTTTTCTTGGCAGGTAGCTTAAAGAGTGGGGTATATAAAACTACAACACATGTTTATTTTGCTTGGCTGCAGTTTGAAAAATAGAAATTAGTTCCCTTTTGGGATCCCTTATTCCCAGATCATCAAGAAAAAAAGAATCAAGATGTTTAATCTTTGGTTGAAACCCACATGTGTGTCTTGATGTACTATTACTAGTGTTAAAAGAGAAGCTTAAAAAAATACAAGTTTATCACTGTATTAAATGGAATCTTTAAATAACATATTCAGTGCAATTTTAGGAGAAAAATTAAATTTCTCTCATTTCTCAAATTTTTGCAAAATATGACACATGTAGACTCATTTCTCATTCAATTTTAAAAGTACCTTTCCCTTTTGGTGCAATTTATCAATACTGACAGAAATTACACAGATATACTACTTAATACATTTCCTTCTTCTTATTTAAGAAGACACTAAATGTGAAATAACTACACATACAACTTCATAAATACATTTCCAGGACCCAAGATTGAGGCTCCTCCACATAAATATAATTTCATCTTCCTGAAGCAAATAATGAAGAAAAAGATATAAAAACCCAGAGTTATGGAGCTGACTCTAATCAAATGTGATGATTAGAATTAAACTATTTGAAATTTGAACTTTCATAGGAAAAAAGATCCAACATTTCTTAGCATGAGCTACCTCATCTCTAGAAGCTGGGATGGACTTAGTATTCTTGTTCATATTTTAGATACCAAAAGGTGCTATGCTTCTGTTATTATTCCAAGACTGGAGATAGGCAGGGCTAAAAAAATTATTATTATTATTTTTTCTTTTAATGATGGTGCTAAAATTCTTTCTATAAAATTCTTTAAAAATCAACATTGTTTCATCAATGCCATTTGTGAAAATGTATCTGTTAGACTTCCCATTTCAGAAAGAAAGAGCATTGTTCTAATGCCTTTTCACTGTTCCTCTGTCATACTGTATCTGGAATGCTTTGTAACATTTGCATGTTTCTTAGACCAGGACATGTAGGTCCCTTGTTTTTCCTTAATTGCATTTGTTGGCTCCATTTTTATTTTATTATTTAAAAATAAGTAGCCAGAGTCATCCAAAGGATAAGCCATGCACACAACTGTGGTCATGTATCTCTGCAAAGCATCAAATTAAATGTACGCTTTCATCATGTCAGTCATTTTTTTGTTTTTTGGAATTCCTTTAAACATAGTAGATTGATATAATTTCCAATAGTAAATAATAAGAATAAGAATAAGGTGTTGTGGTATTCTGCATTTTCTGTTTGTTTGAAAGATACAACAAATATCTTCCATCATGTATGTACCTGCTTATAAATGAAAATCTATCTGTAACATTATCCACAAGGCAACAGGGCACTAATCATCAATGTTTAGTCCTTATAAAATGCCAGGATAGTGTTAGGTAAAAGACAGGGTATGGGGAAAGGAGAGAAAGAAAAGGTGGAAGTTAGGGTAATGCCTCATGCCTGCAGCCCACCTAACACTCCCTTAAAAAGGGAAGCTGGTCAACCACAAGGAGAATTCAAGAACCTAAAGAGAAAGTCCCCTATCTTGGGAGGGACTGACCTAAAGTTAAGTTGGTACTAGTTAGCATATCATTAGCTTTGTGGCTTGCTCCCCACTGTGCATTTGCAGGTAGGTGGGGGAAAGAAACCATGGACTGGCAGTAGAGAAGAAATTTTGTCAAAATCAGTTGTCAATCAAGGTACTAATCAAACCCAGGTCCACCCAGGGAAAAGCACAGCCCAATAAAAGCCAGCTTCACTATGTAGACAGGGTCTTGAGGTACACTTCTCAGTTCAGCCCATTCTGTTCTCTCAGCGTGTTCTTTTGCTTTTAATAAACCTTTGTTTTGCTTGCCAACCTCTTGGGTCTCACTCAATTCTTTGTTCAGGACAAAAACCTAAATTTAGCAGGATCCCCTGGGGACACCTGCTTGGGCATCGGTAACAGTAGCACTATTGATTAAAAAAGGAAAGATGCATTTTGCATGGCTGAATGGACTGCTAATAAAACAAGTCTCGATGTGTATCATACAGAAATTTAACCTAAATGTTTTCAGTTTTATTTTTAGTATTTATTTCACAACATATTTTTTTTCCAAGTTGTTTAGTATTTGATCTCTGTATCTTGAATGTGGATATTTATATAGCTGAAAAAATTTGAAAGTTTTGTTGAATTTCTTGTAGGTAAAAGCTTCACAGGTTGCACAAGTTCAGGTAGGTGAGCCAGAAATATGTGGTGATTCTATTTAGTGAAACACTGATAGTTCTCAACTACGGAAATATCCATTCTTATTTGAAGCTCAGGAATCTTACAAATAAAAGGCTGTCCATACTCTTCTAAAGCCTTCAGATTTCTTGCCTATTTTGTAGATCTCTTGGTCCGGTTAGACTATTGGACTCCTTCATGTCCTGTAGGCACCTCAAACACTACACAATCAAAAGTGAAATGCTTTACATTTGAGTAGAAGGTGGTATTAATTACTTGTTGATTTATTAAAATACAAATAAAAATGAACAGAAAGGAAGAAAACACAAAGGAAAGATGAACACAAACAATGCTGAAAAAGTCTCAAACTCATAACACAAAGTTTGATAAATTCTGGACAGGTTTAAGGTGATTTGTTTCAAATTGAAAAGATATTCAAGGAAGCTTTATCAAGTATCCCTCCTCAAGAAAATGCTTTTATACGTCCAAAAACAAGTGCAAAATGTCTGGCAACAAAACAATGATTGGAAATATCACACTCAGAGTCCCTATCCTACCACAAATAAGAACACCTCAGGACAACTATTTATTTTTTTAATGTGAGATTATGAAAATTTCAGGGGAGACCAAAAATAACTCCCTTAAAAGTTAATTTTGGGCTGAGATCTAACAGTGGCAAACCAAGTAGTGAATCAGCAACACTAATCCCCAAACCTATAGCACAGGGGACACGCCTTGAAATGGACAGCTCATTCAAAAGCAACTTTTAATTTTAGCCTTTGTTAATGCATCATTTCGTTCAGTTATGTTAATGTTGGTATTTTCTTAGAGGTCAGTCTTTTTTTTTTTTAATTTTCATACTCTATATTCTCTCTTCACTATGCTAACCTATGCCCATGACTTTAATTACTATATATATATCAAAAGCTCTAACTGTGTATATTTAGCACAAACATCCCTGTGGAGCTTAAGAATGCACATTTAAGTGTTGAACTCACCATCTTCATTTGGGTTTTAGAGGTATGTAACTGTATATATCCAAACCAAATTAGTGATATTTCTACCTTAAAGAAGTATTTTGTTCAGTGTTTTCTCTCTCAGGCAACAGCTTCTTCATCCACCATTTAGGAGGGCTAAGGACCTGTGAGTCATCCTTATTGCCTTTCTTTCTCACTGATCAAGCAATAGTCATGGTATTACCAAGTATTTTCAATATTACTCCAAAATTTTTTGTAATGCCGTATCCCTCTCTTCATTTCCATCGCCACTATCCTGCTCCACATATTTATTATCTCTTGCCTGGACTCTTTTATTAGCTTTCCAACAGATTTCCAGATACCCACTGTGCCCTCTTCTGATCCACTCTTCCCATGATAGATGGAATGACCAATTTGAAATATAAATCTTTATGTGTGACTTGTTACTCTCCCCATCCACCAACACAATGCACACACATGAACATACACACTTATCTTAAAAAAGCTTCAATGGCAACAACATTCTAAATGGAGAAAAATTGAAAACATTCTGTCTAAAATCTGGAACAAGACAAGGATGCCCTCTTTTACCACTTCTATTCAACATAGTTCTTGAAACTCTAGCCATAGCAATTAGAAGAAAGAAATTAAAGGAATACAAGTAGAAAAAGAAGAACTCAAACTATCCCTATGTGCTGATGACATGATTCTACATTTAGAAGATCCAAAAAACTCCAACAGAAAATTTCTGGAACTCATAAATTCAGCAAAGTAGCATGAAATAAAATTAACACCCATAAATCAATTGTGTTCCTATATATCAGTATTAAAGCAACTGAAACAGAAATTAGGAAAATTATCCAATTCACAATATCCTAAAAAAAAATATTTGGGAATTTATCTAACAAAAGATGTGAAAGACCTCTACAGAGAAAAGTACAGAACACTAAGGAAAGAAATTGAAGAAGAAGTTAGAAGATGGCAAGGTCTACCATGTTCTTGGATAGGCAGAATTAATATTGTCAAAATGGCCACATTACCAAAAGCACTATACATTTTTAATGCAATTTCTATTAAAATTTCAATGATGTTTATAGAAATAGAAAAAGCAGTCATGAAATTCATTTGGAAAAACAAGAGGCCCATAATAACCAAAGGAGTCTTTATCAAGAAATGTGAAGCAGAAGGCATCACAATATCAATCCTTAGATCATACTACAGAGCTATAGTAACAAAAACATCATGGTATTACCAAAAAAAAAAAAAAAAAGAACAGACAAGAAAACCAACATTACAGAGGGAAGACACAGAGAAAGACCCACATAATTACAGTTATTTCATACTAGACAAAGGCACCAAAAACATACTTAGGAGAAAAGATAGCCTCTTCAACAAATGGTGCTAGGAAAACTAGCACCCTGTATAGCAAAATGAAATTAAACTTCTTTCTCTCACCCTACACAAAACTCAACTCAGAGTGGATCAAAGAACTAGGCATTAGACCACAGACCTTGTGCCTACTAGAAAAAAAAGTAGGCCTAAGTCTCCACCATGTTGGCTTAGGAATAGAATTCCTCAACAAGACTCCTAATGCATGAGAAGTAAAATCAAGAATTAATAAAAGGGATGGTATCAAACTTAAAAACTTTTTTACAGCAAAGAAAACAATCAAGAACATGAAGAGAGAGAGAGCCTACAGAATGGGAGAAAATCTTGGCCACCTTCCTCTCAGATACAGCATCAATCTCCAGGGTATATAAAGAACTCAAAAAACAACACCAAAGAACAAATAAACCAATCAATAAATGGGCAAAGGAACTGAATAGGCATTTCACAGAATAAGAGATACAAATGTTCAACAAATATATGGGAAATGTTCAGGATCTCTAGCGATTAGAGAAATGCAAATTGAAACTACACAGAGATTCCATCTCACTCCAGTCAGAAGGGCAATTATCAAGAATACAAGTAACAATAAATGCTGGCGAGTATGTGGTGGGGGGGAAGGAATACTCATACATTGCTGGTGGGACTGCAAATTGTTGCAACCACTCTGGAAAGCAGTATGGAGAGTCCTCAGAAAACTTGGAATAGAGCCACAATTTGCCCCAGTTATCTCACTATTTTGCACATAATCAAAGGACTTAAAATCAGCATGCTATAGTGACACAACCACATCAATGTTTATGGTAGCTCAATTCACAATAGCTAAACTATGGAACCAACCCAGGTACTTGTCAACAGATGAATGGATAAAGAAAGTAGGGTACATATTCATGGAAATCTTCTCAGCCATAAAGAGAAATGAAATTATGGTATTTGCCAGTAAATGGAGTAAAGTAAGCCAATCCCCCAAAACCAAAGGCTGAACGTTCTCTCTAATATGTGGATGCTAACTAACAATAAGTATAAAAATATCAAGTAGTTTAATAATCTTGGAGTGGAATAACAACAAATATTTAATATTAAAATGAAATGCAGAAATACCAGATTCCAAATACAGGTGGTTTTTTTGTTTTGTTTTGTTTTGTTTTTTGATACTGGGGATTGAACTCAGGGGCACTTGACCACTGAGCCACATCCCCAGCCCTATTTTTTACTTTATTTAGAGACAGGGTCTCACTGAATTGCTTAGCACCTTGCCATTGCTGAGGCTGGCTTTGAACTCATGATCCTCCTGTTTGAGCCTCCCGAGCAGCTGGGATTACAGGTGTATGCCACTGCACCCAGCTCCCAAAATACCTTTAAATCTGTTGTAAAACTCTCAACAAGTATGCATAAAGCATATTGAAATAGGCAAACTTTTTGTAACATAGATGACAGAAAATTCTAAATATAGTTTACTTGCAGAGAAAACAGGAAAAAATGTAGAAAATTCTGTATAAGTTCTATATAAGTGATTCACAAAAGCCATAATATAAAGGTCAATTAAACTGTAAAATGTATTCAATATCATGAGAAATAAAAAAATCAAGAGAAACCATAAGATATAAAATTAAATTTTCAGAATTTGATAAACACAAACATGACTAATAAAATTAGGTATAAAAGAAGATGCAACAAAACATTCATCAACATTTTTGTCTGTTTCTTCCACTGAATCATGGAAAGTATAAAATCATCTTCTCAAATTGTTTTTCCAGAGATTTGATAAATGTACGAAGGCCCTGGGGCTGGAAGCCAGTAGGGAGTAGGAGAAAGAGCAGTAGATAATAGTGGCCTCATGGCTATCAATTTTACCTGTAACTTCAAATAACTTAAATAATAACTTGTAAAAATTATGTGTACATAGACATGAATGTTTAAAATAGAGTAGAACTTAAAATTCACATGACAAAAGCAATTACTACAATGACAGAAAATTGATTTAGACTCCAGCCTGGGAAGAAGTTGTGGATATACATTTTCCATGTGAATTTCATGGCAGATATTGGTGTGTTTGCCATAGAATGTGAAACTATTACCGAGCTGATGCTATGGGATAAATATACTTAAATCATCCAACATACCAGCTGAACTGAATAAATAAGTGATGTAACTGATATTAATAGGAAATGTACAGGGGAAGCATAGGTACCCAAAATAGGCTGGTATTTGGAGAAGAGAGAAAGCAAAGAAGTCTACTTGAATGATGCTTTTTCTTAATGCATCCTGATGGATAAAGATGGATTCTTC